AGCACATGTATGCCAGTATGAAATGAACTGACAAATTTCATGCACAGTGGATAACGTAAATGCTGTTATCCACGTTCCGGAGAGTGTTTCAAAACAGCAAAACCTGACATAGTGACCCGTTGATTTGTTTGAGCACGAGCCACCTCCTGTGCATTTCCCGTCCTCGTTGAGGGGAGTGTTAAAAACAAATTTCACTTGTCATTTGATCTGAACTAATGAATAATTTTGGATGCATCCATTGATTCGAAATCGCTTGGACTCCTGGATTTTGTTTCCTATTACATCCAGATACTGATTAAAACAGCACAGGAAAAATGGCTGATGGCGTACAAAGATACGTGGGTATTGATGTGTTCATGCCTTTGCGGCAACTCTGCGACAGGCCATTAAGATGTGTTGATCGGAACCACGGACGTTCTCAAAGGTCATCACAGAAAACACAAAACATCGTTATGCATCCTATTCATCTGTGACAGGACGAAATTTTGTATTAGTAGTAAGCACCCTTCCATGAGTTCACTCGCAGTTGATAAAGCGTTCCTCTTGATCTTATCTGCTTTTGCTCGTACCCCACAACAGTTACAGAAAACAATGACCAATGCGGAAAAGTGCGAAATCAGTGTGTCGAAACATAGGTAGCTCGGGTGCGTTTACTGGTGGTTGATCGGATGGCAGTTGATCTGTTCGCCGAGCTTGGCAATTGGCTTGCAAACGTTTCGTCCCCAGTCGAGGAGATATCGTCAGTCATACATTGCCAATCACAGGATAGGATATTAGATACTCTACAAAAAACTACATAAACGCAGCTAGGCACGGAGGAAGCACCCATTCAACTGCGCACTGACGATGTCCTCTCGACTGGGGACGAAACGTTTGCAAGCCAATGGCCAAGCTCGGCGAACAAATCAACCGCCATCCGACCAATCACCAGTGCGAGATCAACTGATTCAGTCAGGTAAGAAAGCTAGATTAGCTAGCGATTGCGCTGCTCAAAAGTCTCACTGTATCTTAGGTTTGCCGGACTACTGATCACGCTTAGGTGACGTAGGTGCTTTGTGAGAATCGATTTTCAACCAGAATGGACCACCATTCTTTCGGAAAAAAAGGCTGCACAACAAATCAGCTCCCTAACTATTATTACACAATATAATCCTTATCAACAGGTCCATGCAAGGCAGTTAGTAATTGATTTGGGGAGAAGACAAACGAAAACAGCTTCGAATTTGGTGGAGTTTCGGGAAACCAAGGGTTATTAGTCTCGCTACACCACTACTTGGAAGCCCTTTGACAGTCCACTACAAATTCTTCTCTTCGTAAGGTAAATCAGGTAGGCGTAGTCCTCGAGTTTCCGTAAACCTCGTTACTTATTTGAAGCCATTGGTATTCCAGTGGATCAACTTTGTAGATTTCACCAAATCTGTTTGCTTTCTATAGTGCTCTCAATCAGAAAAACCTTGAGAGAAATGTACTTGAGTTTTTCGCACAGAATACAAACTACAATCAGATTTCAATATGCTCTTGATAATTTGACCTAGAAGAGAGTACCATCTGAAGCGTGTGAACATACAACGCGAGATACAAAAAACACCTACCCACGGTCGGGGTTTAAATGACTCGGCATACCACATACGCACTTTGTACACAATATATACCACACCACCAAGCAAACGAGGAAATTCATAAACGGAGTCACGAAGGAAGATAGCACAAGTGTCTTCAAGTTTGTGCAGCTTAAGCGAATGAAGACTATTCAAAAGCCGATTAACGTAGTTTTGGAACTTAATTTCCAAAGAACTACAAATCCTTCGAGACTGCTCGCTAGGCGTTTTGTACCTTATGATGAAACTGTTGAAATTTCGCATTTTCCAGAATATAGTAACGCTTAACTGACCAAACGAAATAGGTAATATGGAGATCTGTCTAGTTCTACAGGGTTGCAGATTCAGGAATTCCAGCTTGACTTTTCTAGCACCGAAAATGAGAAACCTACGATAAATCCGGCCCACAAAAATAGTGCGTAATCATTGTATTCAACAATTATACTAAACATCCGTCAATTCTTGTAATGCACTACTCATAAGGTTGCTGAAATTTTGTCGACAGCCCACGACCGGTTTTCGCCCTTCTTAGGGATTATCAGGTAGTTGCAGTCCCCGAGTTTCCGTAAACTTTATGTTCTAGTTGAAACCTAGAAACATCACAAACGAGAGACTCAGCTGGATTCCAGGTGAGTCTCTCGGAAAACCAAATTAGTTTGCAAATGAGTGCATATTCGCTAATCTGTCAATTCTGCTTTACTTTTGACCGAGCTAAACGCGGTGCTGAGTAAGAAAGTTTTTGAAGGTAACATTTTACTGTGAGGCATCTGGATCACCAAAACGGAGAAACTTTTATACTGAATAGCCAAATTCGAACAGAAACTTAAAGATAAGCTGTGGATCGTTTTTAGAAGGACTTGGTATACAATCGGTAGTTTTTAACTGGACAACGTTTCGTCTTTGACAAAAAAACTTCATCTGGTCAGGTCGGAGTATCATAAAACTCGGTAAAGATAGCTTAGCATATATGTTTGTGAACAGTTTGAACAGGCCCTTGGAGATGACTGCTTTTTGGTGTTATATTCTAACGCCTAATTCAAAGCCTGAAATCATACATCTGTTAAACGCCAACTGACACGTCAAAGTTCAAATCCGTTCGGTGTCCATAAACATGTGCTGGGCGTTCACTAGAGTTGACTTAGCGTGTACAGCGCGGTTGGGACTTACTGTTCTCCTTTCCCCCCTCTCCAGTTGAATTTATGACTTTCAGATTTTCGATGCATGCTTCGAGGGATTTTTTCACTGGATTCATCATCAATGTGGACACAGTATGTATGAAGCTTATGAAACAGTATTAAGGCCTGTCCATCTCAAATAACAGCAGCAGCACATTCTAGGGAGGGCGATATGCCTTATTAGCAATCATAAGACGGCTGATTACATAATTATTAAATTAAATACACGCTTCACTCGCAGGTCTCACCATACTTTTACGGTTCTCTCCACTCCATACAAGAGCTTGGTTCAGCTGTACACAAACCTTCTAACTAGGCATCACATGCTTCCAACGGGTTTACGTATGGACAGGCTAAAAACAAACTGTGCGGGATCAGGGAATACCGATGGATCTTGAGAAGCCATTTCTCATAGCTGATCGTCACATCGAAACGCAAAGGAGTTATTGTTCAGTGTACGAATAGACCAGGTTTTAGTGGGATACGTATTGACCACAGGATCCTAATCCGAAAATGTAAAAAAGCATCCATTTTTAGATCAGCTACTGAAAATCCCTCTTTTTCCGTGCTGTACTGACAGCAGACGAGATTATGCTCCTCGACATCGCTTTCATTCATTCAATTGTGATTCAACAAGAGTTGAGCCTATGCTGGCTTGGTTCTGTGCTTCATGTACGTCCGGCCTACCACAGTAACTTTCTCATGTTCGTGCGTTCCAGACACAGGTGACCCTAGGGCACTTGTGCGGGATGCCTGAACCTTAGATGTAATTGGAAGACTGGTTTGTGTTGAAGGTACTTGTTACCCTCCTACTTCATTTTATTTACTGCCATTGGTAACCTCCTTTTCGCACTGGCGTGCAGTTTGTGGTTAAATCGGCATCTGGAAATCGTTCAAAAAAGTTTTGATGAAGGAATTTTAGTTAAAGATACATATGGAGCACAACGCAGCATCCGTGTAAGCATACATTTCCATTATCTGCTGGAGATGGAGGGAATTCACGTGAGTCTAATGAGACCATATCGAGAAAGCTACTCATCGATTGGTGTTATTAATGTAAAGAAACTTACACTGTGGCCCTGTAGGAACGCTAGCTGAACCAGTAAGCACCACGTGTTTTGTGCAGCCCAAGTACAGCTGTCAGTTGGATCAATGAGGTGGCATAAAAACCTGTGATAGTTGGCTGTGAACTCAGCATTTGAACAAGAGCATTGCAGAAAGTTACAAGCACTACGCGAGACTACCACCTGAGTTCTCCTTCCTGAAAAGCTTAAAATGCAGCACCATAAAACCCCAATGGTTGTGCCAAGCAAACACAATAAGCTCCACAAATCTCTAGAGATCCGAACCCGCGATCTCCCTTCTGGCTATTGTTAGAGAATAAATCGTCTGTCCACGAGCGACTGGTCAGCTGTGTAATTAGTGTCTAGAAGAGATACATCGCCACTCATCCTTCAACCACGCAATTCACATCACGTGTTGGCGTTACAGTGTGTGAGTCATACCTAGGTTTCATCGGCGCGCTTACCGATTTCTGACACATTGTTCCATTATGCCATGAAGAGTTCAGACGAGTGATATCACGAAGGTATCGGAAGGTCTCAGTAAATTACGTACTTTGGAACTCGTTCGCCGAGTACCTTAGTCGGAAGAGTTTGATCATGTAGCAGGTGCTAACGTGGCAGCTTTGGAATATGCATAAGTAGGACAGTTCAGTGTCCTCGTATAGATGCTACGAATTATGATGCGACTCAGTTGCTTGAAAAAACTGCCACATATGTACTGAATAATTCACAAAGTATGGCGTGATGAGAACACAAATTAAGTTCATCTGTTGTGGAAACTACTCCCCTGGGACGACGCTGATATAGTTATCAATGATCCGCGCAATGCTGCTGATTGGTGGAGAATGGGGAGTCAGATACCCAGATGTTAGTCATGTCTGACTGCAAACACAACTTCGGTGCTCACTTTTGGGTATAAACTGAAGGTTCGTGACCAACAGCAGGTGTCACGGAACAGCTTAGAGTAGCCGGCTAGACGACAGCTCATGCTAACAACGATGCTTAGGTCGACAGTATGTAATCTACGTAGTGTTAAAATATGAGAAACGGCACTTTGAGGTGCACCATATGCATTTGAAATCACCACCCATCTGTGTTGTCTTTTGCTTAAGCTGAGTGAAATGACATCAAGACACCCAGCTAGGTAGCGAAAGATACGAACAGGTGCATCAAATGTTATATTGAAGTCAGAATAAACCGAAAATCTATGATACAATGATTGCTTATCCTATGGCCCGAAGAGGCAGGGAAAAATCATTCAATTCGCTCCGCTTTTAATGCTACGGCCCAAACGTGTTCCACGATATCTCTTGGAGTCAACAACTTCTCTGCATCAACGTCGGGTATTTCGAACCCTACAAAAGCGGAGAAACAGGAGTGAGGGCAGCGGAGGACACACCAGGCTGAAAGCGATTTACACTACGATAATCCAGAATATGCAACTATGACTGAAAAGTCTTGATGATACTCTGATTCCGTGGTTGATAACTCAAGAACCTGCAGCCGGGTAATATCAACCCCGTTTTAAACATGCTACTCATTAGTAAGCAAAGTAAAAAAAACTGTGGACATCAAACGGAGTGGCTAGCAAGGGAAGGATTCAGAGTATTGATGTGAGATACCTATTACATATTGCGTTATTAAAAGATGCGTTCTACGAAACCAGAGATGTGGGGCTGTCTTGAAGTGGTAGTGAGCAAGAGTGAGTATTACGATCTAGACTATATTTTTGCTTCATACAAGCGTTTTTAATGAACACACATGACGACCATAACTTTCACGCCTACCTTGACTTCTTTTCAAAAGGGTAAATATCACTAGAGTTCTCGTCATACATGTTGATGATATTATGTTTGCCGTCTAAAAATGTGACGTTTTTCATGAAACCGCTAAACAGTGCCTTGAAAGAGAAAAGTCTTGGGCGTTACATGTTGTTGGCAAATGCGTGTTGTTTACTTCGCATGTGGATGCCGATGGAAAAAACCGTCAGAGCCGGGAAAATAGTTTGTCTAAGGCGCTTGAAAATCTTCCACACAGATTTATTGTTTCAACCCATTCGATAAGTTTGCTATAAAACTTGACGAACTGAGGGGTTGGTGGTCGTCAACTTAAAGAAAGGGATCTGGTGACAATTGTACAAACCACCTGTCTACCATCCTTAAATTTCTGGATCTTCCCCTGTAGGTTAGCTGACTGGCGTAAAACGTGAACTTGCGAAAAACAGGGGAGGGGTCGCACCGATCGAGACCTCCTTGATCAAATATTTGGTCTGTACAAGGTTTTGGTGCTCAGAGGACCGATGATCAGAGTTTTCCTGGGCATCCGCGGTTGAGTTCATAGACGATCGAGCCTTATATGACTGTTTGGGGAGGTATAGGACAGTTGGCAAATTCGTGAAAATATTTAAACACTCTATCAAGAGCTAGAGTGCATACGCGATTTCCCACTGTTTCCGAAGTTGGAAGCAGAGTACACAATGAATGCCCGAAACCCAAGACGCCCTACATTTTTTCACAAACGACATGCCTAGCAAGTCTTTAATCGAAGTCAAGCTTACTTCAGAGCTCAGCTGATAGATTTCGGATTTGATAGTGGTGTACGCTCTGGAAAAGCCAAGCGAATGTTTTCAAATTTTTGTGGTAAACGGCGAAAACTAGCAAACCAAAGCGATATGACATCGTTCCTGCTGCACTAAGCTGGTCCTTCCCAATCACGACAAAAAACGCAATGGCACTCAGTTCACCAGAGAAGCCTCTCTGTAGCTCAATGATATCGAGTTGGGTTGACTCAGAAGCTTCATAACTCAACGGGTACGGTAGTAGTAATGGTAACTTGGATGACGATTGGATAATTGTGCAAGAAGCCATGTTCACAGCCTTTCATACTATCTGCAAGAGGTCGCTTACATACCAAAATACACAATGAGTCTAGCTAAAATCAGCAGCTTTGATTGAAGCAATGTGTCGTGAGTTTTGTGTGCTCATTTTTATACTTACCACAAATACTCGTACCGGACCTTTGTATGTACATTTCAGCCCCCGCACGTTTGTTCTCAGACAAGTAAAAAGTTGCTTATCCTCAAAAACTCGGACTCAGTTCTAATTCGTTCTCGGACACATTCTAAACGTCTCACCACGAAAACTATACCACCAACAAACAACTACATGGACGTGGGCAGGTCCCTCATCACAGAATAATGGACAGTGTAAGGATTCATAGAGAGTCGATGGATCGCACATTCACGAGAAATAGATATAGCTTTTGTAACAAGGAACACCCACATGTGGTTCTAGTTAATCCAATCAACCGGTTCAATGAAGATCGCTGCTAGTGAAATTACTTCCGGAAAAGATAGGTCCTCAATTCATTCACAGAAACGTCGTCTTGAGCGATTGGTTGGACACTTTGGCTCGTCCCATTAACTAAGCTCCAGAAGGACCCAAAGGACCCTTCACTCTTCAGAGGCGGTAAGTCCCTCGTAACTATACTGACGACTTTATTTCAATGTATCTGGGGTGAGGAAAGAATACCAACAGAATGGAGCGCTTTGACGGTGATTCCAACTTTCGAAATGGGGTGCAAAAACATCGTGTGAAAACCACCGTCACATACGTTCAGTCGTCGTGGCTCCCAATGTGCTCTCTGGCATTATTCTGCGAAATTTGGTCCACTAAGAAGTCAGCTTAACGAAAATAAAGCTGTGTTCCCCGATAACCAGGGTTGCATTAATCGTACCTTCATTTTGCGACGGGCACTGGAACTGCATAATTTTTTCCAACGACCTCGGATCTGCGTTTGACTCCGTTGGTCATCAGAAACTGCGACAGCGTCTAGTGATGAAGGGTACCCCTCCTGAGTTGTTGTTTATTATAAAGGCTCTATATGCCTCCTTCCATGGACGCGTACGTGTTTACAACACTCCTGAATTAACTACAATCAGTGGTGTCAGGCAAGGGTGTCCTCTGACCCCCTTCCCTTGGTCAGCGACGCGCTGTTTGAGTCCTCCTTGTGTCTCCAAAACCTCGGGCATTCGCTCTCGGACATTGAGTACGCCGATGAAATTTCTCCCATTGGTTCAGACCTTCCAGAAATTCAAACTAACTTAAACACCGTGAATAATTCTGCTGTACAATTTCGGTATGCACTTTGCAGCTGAAAGTGCTGCTGAGGAGTTGAATAGGATCAAACTCAAAACTCATGCATGCAATTGAACCGGTCGATATTGCGGATAAATCAGTCTACCTGGGCAGGTGCACAATTCCCGATGAACTGGCGAAAGACAAGCTCACTTCCAGAAACGGGTATGCCAGGAAAGTGTTGGCAAACCTCCCACATTCACGGCATCCTCGTGACGTCAGCTTGACTGTCAATGCTGCGGTCCTATCTGTTTTACTCTATGTATCAAGGACGGTTTAGGTGCGTGCGGAAGATCCCCAAAAACTGTTTGACAATAGGTGTCCCCAAGGCACTGTGAGGCTCTGGTGAGGACATCCTACCAGTAGTGCTGAAGTACGCCATGTGGTTCTAGGGGTTTTAGATCAGCTGGTGACACTCCACAGGTAACGCTGGTTAGGTCACGTACTTCGTATACCAGAGGACCGTTTGGCCCGTATAGCCCAGCCTTTTATTAGATAAAGACGATCAAGAGGTAGTCATTCTGTCTTGACAAGGAAGCATGAAAGCCCTCACCAGTCAACTAAGTCGCGTCAGTAAATGTTAATTCGCCGGATGGAAACCGCGGAACGAGACAAACCAAAAGTCAGCGATCCTGACAGATATTGCTGTGTCACGCAGCTGATGGCGGCCTTGCGTCAAAGCTACCGTTTTCACTCGCTGTCATACTGGGCAATAGATGCATTTTCATTCGTGCACATCCTGGGTCATCGCCGCTAACGTAATGCTCTAATTCCATTATTCTCTTTGTTCCCGATGAACGAAGTCGCAGGAACTAGAATAACTGTATAACGGTGCAAGGTTTGTTAGCTAAACAACTGAACTGCATATGCTTATCAGGTTGGCGCAAAAGAAATTGCGTCCTACCTACTGTAAGGCCCATGCTACACCCTCCCCGAACGGTACTTGATACGCAAACATCGTTCTTGCCTAAGTAATGAACAGACTTATAGGTCACCAAAGAGAGCGCTTTTCGAGTTTAAATGTGTGAACAAGATACTTCCATGATATCAGGATCGAAAAGGATGTTGACTTAAGAAACATTGACCCGATCTTTTGATTGTGAAATCCAACGTGCAGAGCGGTAGGACGTTGATGATATTATTTGGACAGTTTGTTTAGCTCTTCTGACAGTGAAACAACCACACCATCGTTTTGACCCGAAGTCGATCTATGGTTGAAGGAACCTCCAAATCCATGGCGTGCAATCACAGGAAATCCCAAGATTTATTTTATCTGTTCTAATAGTGGTGAGTTTTACATACAAGTACCAAAACGCTGGTACCCGGAAGACACCATTCAATTCGACCAGCTTCGAACGAAGTCGGTCACAATCTTAATCTATCTGTATTATGTCGCACAGTCCCATATTTTTCCTCGAAACACCTTTTAGGGTCATCTGAATCCGCAGAAAGGTTTTTCACGGGACCGAAAAAATAAGCGGTTATTCGGGAGCAACGGGACAAAAATACGCTTACTTATGCTCTACTATAAATTATAGCTGTCCCGGGTAAACGAAGCTGGCTGATTTCTCTATGAAAAAGAGACACAGATGCACAGGTGCTGTAGACATGCTGGGAGAATTGCGAAATCCGTCGTACAGCAAGACGTTGGCCCGTTGCTTTTTTATAGACATTGGTGTAGAAATTCAGTTCAGTTTAGTGAGATAGTGGGAAGGGAATTCGTAAGAGAATTCACTGCACTTGAGGGGGTGTGAAGATGTGGCCGGAGCAGCATCTATTCGGTCGAGATTCCGTTTGATTCTCACATGTCCATGCTGCCTCAGGAGGATGAAGAATGAGCGACGCCAGAAGCCTAGTCACAAGGCGAGTCAAACCAGCACTTCTGTGGTTACCTCGTTCCCTGCGGATAGCCTTTCTGAAAATAGGCACTATTATCAGCTCACGCCAGCTATTTTAAAGTCTTTCTGACAGATGGACAGAAATAGGCTAGACATGCACTGACTGAGGAATTCATCGCCATCCTTTAACAGAGCAGGTGGAAGGTCATCAGGGACAGGAGCATGATAACGGTTGAGTGCACATACAATGGGACACTTCTGATGCAGAGGATAGTTCCATTTTCACACTCACCTCTTTGCTGAGGGCTGGCAGTCTGGAATGTTGATAGAAGGTGGCCCACTGAATTGTTCGAACTATTACGCCAGGCGGTTCAAACGTTATCCTTTGCTGGACACCACAGCCATTCCAGCCCGACAGCTTCGCAGACAGTAGGCTCGCGAGGACCAGCCGAGCGGATCAAGTGGAACAGCTTGCGGACATTTCCACCATTTTTGCCTCTTCCATTTCTCCAGCTTTTCGGGTCCACCAAGCTCTCAGTCTGCACAAACATCCAGTTTCACGTGACGTCGGGTTGAATTGTAGTTGTGGCCAGGAGAAATCAGCTACTGGGTCTTTAGTGACGCCACGGTCCTATCAGAGATCCAGTGTTTGAATGAGGTTGCATCGTAAATGGAATATCACACATTGAATAGCGCTTTGGATGTTCCCAGTGGCCGTTGATATCCGACATCGAACCGTCTGGCAGGAGTCCGAGGGGCAGGTTCTACTAGGCTCGTTTGACTTCTGGGTCCACTAGCTTCCGGGTGGCTAGGCGAGATACGCGCGTTTTGCGTAAACCTGCAAGGCGTAATCTAAAACAGCATTGGATAACTGCATGGTCGAAGTTCATTCTCCTATTCCAGAAGGAGCGGCAAACAGTGATCAATCCTTGCCATCGGTAACTGACGGCGATGTGATCTATTTGGATTGGGGACTGATTCGTTGGTGGGCACCATGTCACAGAGCGATTTCCGCTGCAAAGAACAGCCTGTGATCGGCACACATCTGAAGCAGGCGATCTTCGTTGTCCATGAGTCTCGTAACCAACTCAATACGACCACGCAATAGGACTTCAGCAGCGCTTAGCTACCTACCTGGGCGTTCACGTCACCGGCAACCACAATGATGTCCGAGCTTCTGGCCCCTTGTAAAAGAACACTTGCAGCGTCATAGAAACTGTTTTTGGAAGATCAGAGTTATAGTTCGTCGGGGCATAAGCAGACACAATAAACAAGGAGCGAAAGACCTCGCTTCCTCCGGATTTTCAGACGCTACCAAACGAACCGCACAGAGGTAATCATCAAAGGGTATCCCATGAAGTAGAGACGCTTCCGGGCGATCGCTCAATATAGTACCAATGCTGACATACCCAGCAATACGCAGTGGGAAAGTGGTAGAGACAAGAGGGGGGCAATCAGTTCAATCATATTACTTGCGTCCCGTGTCCTTGTCTTTGACACACAGCAGAGGGTATTCAAAGTACGAGCAAGAGTCACTCGTTTTGCTGCTAGCCTTGGTGTGAGAACATCATAGACAGCCAAATATACCGGCTCTTTGGGGTTTGAAAAGAGACTTCGGAGGGTTGTTACTGGAATCGGACGTGCAGAAGCTTCAGCTGAGTGCGATGCACGATATAAGGAAGGTCAGATTCCTGAAAGTAACCCAAGAGCGCCCAGAATCTACTGAAACCCTAAAACTTCACTAAAATCTCAATAGGAAAGCCGGAAAGCATCCAGACCAGACAATCATTCAACCAATTCAGAAAAAGCCCATTAGTGTTGACACGCAATAGAAGCACGACCGAATGTGATCAACTTTCAGGCACTTCACTGGAGCAAAAAAGGTGTTGATGGGTGTTCACTAAATGCCTACCAGAGCGCCTGGATTAATGTCAGAAAGTGCCCTTTACATAGCGCAGGGCCGTTGTAAGTTTTGCCCTCGCTTGTTGGGAATGAAGCTGTACTTTTATCGGTGAACCCTTTTTTGGCACCAGGCACCGGAGTGGAAACAACAGTTAGATGTAACACACGACGAATAAATCAAGCAATCCTAGTAGTAGGACTTGATGAGGGAGTATTCAAATCAGGGTGGAGTAGGCTGAAAGAGAAAACATATGAGTGCAAGGAGGGAGGTGATAAATTGGGACATTCCCACCTGCTAATTACATATTACAATGCGCGATCTCCGGAAGACTAATCCATGTGCCCAAATATCAGTAAAAGCAAGTGAAACCATTTACCCTCACAATTGCAGTTAATTTAAGCCTTCCTATCAGTTATCGGAGTTCTGTCACACCTCCACCAACTCAGTCTCATTCTACCTAATGCGGTACTCACGATTGTCTTCCATCAAACATTTGGATGCGTTAACCACGTACTAGTACATGTATACTACGTGGCTGGTGCAAGTAGTGACGCAAACCAGGGCTACTGCAACCTGAAAAAAATTTGCCTATCTACCCTTCATGATGTAAATAAGTGCGAACTTCTTGATAACCCACCGGCGGATGAGGTAAGGTGAAGATCCACCAAGAGTCTTTCAGCTTTCATTGAGGCCGAATAGAACTCAGTTTATCTTCCCGACAAAGGGGCGTATAATCATAACAGTAAAAGAACTCGGAAACAAAAGGGGGTACAGAACCAGACACGCAGAAAATAAGACTCCGAACATTGCGAAACAGCCTGACCGCAACATTCGTTGGGTGAACCTTTCCTGGTCTTCCTAGTATTGACATGAATGTTTACACATTTGGGGAGTACTCTGCACACAAACGTCGATTTTTTTATCGTTTAGCCGTAGCACCCTTTCGGTGCCTAGCTGCCATGCCACCCAAAAGAAGCACGAGGGCTGGGATACTGCCAGGTTGCCCAAGCCTAGACAGAGGAATTCGAGAGGCAGAGGTCGGGTTCGAACCACGGACCTTCCGGTCAGTAAATTCGCGCTCTTACCACTTGGGCCATCTCGCCCAAACGTCGATATATACAATTAAGAAGCAATGTTTAGATGAATTAATGATAGTCTATATGCTTTAACCATCTAATGACTCACGATGATAACCAAAAACTCCTGTGGCGAAGTTTGACGGGAAGTTGGAACTGGAGGTTAAATTCACCGACTAAATATGGACGAAAAATGGTCTGTGTACTGGTTGGCGAACTCAGAAATGGTGACGCACCATTGAATTTCGGCGAGCATAAGCAAAGCAAGGAAGTGTTTTATATGTACACCGAATCTGAAGACAGGCACATAAACGCGCATACCATTTGGAAGTATGCCTAATTTAGGAAACTACACATGGGATCAGCACATACAAGTGCCATCTGATTTCAAATTTGCAGGATGCTAACTTTGAAGTGATCCACCACCAAGATGTTCTGGGATATTTGGGGCGAGATGACTTGGTGGTTGAAGCGCGAATTTACTGACCAGAAGGTCTGTGGTTCGAACCCGACCTCTGTATTTAGACTTCTCCCATATAGGCTTGAACAACCTGGCAGTATCCTAACCGTCGTACTTCCTTCGGGTGGCCAAGCAGTCAGATACCGAGACAATGGTACAGCTGAGCGACTATTGGTTATATTATCAATGGGAGTGGCACCAGGTACGCTGCAGTGTGGCCAGTGATTTAGCATTAATAACCTGCACCCTGAACAAGTAGTCCGTTTGCAGCAAGCTCAACGACGAACCGCAACAGCCTTAGTGATTTTGAGTATTAGGTGCGTTCCCTGAGGCCTTAACTACTTCCACCAGTATGCTTCAGATACAAGGGTAAAGCAGTCCACACCTCTAGGAGCCTTAGAGTGCTAAAGGGGATACAGGACACATAGCAATCAACACTCATGCGGATGTGGCTGAGCTGGGCAATCGCTTCGCGGCTAGTGACAGAAAATATCCTGGAAATGATGCTTCCGACAGCTAATAAGGCATTTCATGAAGCTGTCGAAGGTGGCACATCGGCGAGGAGGCGACTACATACTGTACAGGCTGATGGATATTGCCAGGGACTAGTCTTCGGTCTGGTCAACGCGGAAGTGCAATTGTTACACGGACAATCCCCCCGTTTCCTAAGGGGAATCGCTGGACTAAGTGGGCGTTTCAAACCAATACTAAGCAAAGCGAAATAACTGCTCATAGTCTTCACAGTGTCCCAAGATTTCGGGTTCTCGCTAGTCACGGAATGTCATTTGGGTTTTTTCCTCAACTCGAAGGGGCTCCTTAGGCCTCGATCACTACACGAATCCTAACGAAGAACGGGCTTTGAGATGGTAACACTGGAATCCATCGGAAACAAGTGCACTACTTACAAAATTCGTTCTCTATTTCCATGATGATTTCAATGTGATCCAAACTGTCCAAACCAAGGTCTTTCATGAAATTCGAATCAAGATTTAGCTAGAAAAGTCATTCAAGGAAGAAACCGGTTACTTTGTCCGCCGGAACTTTGTCAAAGCTATTACAGACAGCCAGCACGCGCTCTTCGATTAACGATGGCGACAAGCCAGCCTTGATGTTGCGGATGCTTGAAGTAAGCACATAACGAGTGGTGTTGGGACGACACAATGTCTGTCCCAAACCTAAGAATGCGGAAACGGTCTGATTGCGGGATGGGTGGGACAGTAGCTGCCTCGGGAGCGACAGCAAACCATGGGTGCGCCGAGCAAGGATACCCAAGTTCAAGGTCATGTTTAGCATTTCAAACTCAGCGCTGCCGAATAGATTCAGTCTCTGCATCTGTGTGTAGGAGGCCAGGGGCATTCAGTCTCGGGCTATCTGGTAGCCCATTTAACCCTTTTTCTGTTTGGTGGCTGAAAATGTGACAAAAGCATGGGTCTCATTATCTGTGGCACAGGGCGTAAATTGATTACACAAACGGAGGTTATATCCAAATATTTACGCATAACTAAACACAGACTAGAAAGTACGTGCAAATTTCTGCACATACGTAATGCACATTGTATCGCAGGCATTATTTTTCCTGTCCAGCGAGGGACATTTGATTTATGCTTTGTCTATTTCCCTAGGGTGTCGTGGACTCTTGGGAGACCTAGTACTTAACTATGCCCTGTTCAGATAGGTTTTGGCCAACAGGTTGTTCACCTTTGAACCAGCTCACACACAGTGGAGACAGAATGGGACGATTTGAAGATGAGAACGCGTACTCTCATTGGGCAAAAGTTTTCTCACTCCGGGTATTTGTTCCGTGGAACTAACTTCCTCCGACGGTTGTCCACGCTCCATCTACTCACGGATTCACGGACTGATATACAGGATCAAGGTTTTCTCTCAGGTTTTCCGGGTGGATTTTGTTTTTGTCATCCAGTGGCTGCTGTTCAACTGAAAAGCTCAAACGGAAAAAGGGCGTAGCTCTGCTCTTTAAGTTCTCAGCACGGGACAGTAAGATTGCCAGGCGAGAATTCGCATAAAAATCGTCTAATGATGATTTAAACAGGGTATTAGATCTAGTGCAGACAACTATCGGAGAGAGATTATTTGGAGTGGTGACTACCTTGAAGGGGAAATTTTTGCCTAATTAGGGCATGCACTTTGTGCCTGAAAATCTCCTTACCCTGTCTCTACCATGTGTTGGCTAGATCAACGGTCAAAAACCTTCGACAACACCTGGTTTAAACAGGGCATAAGTAAGTATTGGGTTTCAACCAAGCCGACAATACTCCAGAAGAAAGCGAGACGCCTTCCGTAGTCCGTGGAATAAAGGCCGGCGATCATTTTCCCGACAGCCCACTGGGCACATTCCTTAAGTGCTACGTCCTCGCGTCTTGAGTGGACATATTCAAGAAGCGGTTTTTTGTGGGTTCCATGTGGTACTTGAAAGTCCATGTGACTATTATTGGAAAAGGTGCGCCAAATCATCTGGAGAACGGCGAATCCCTTTTTAGCCGATTTATCACGCTGCTGTGAGAAGGACGGGTTTGAGGGGGGCCTGACGCTAAAATCATTTTGGCATCTATCCTCGTGAAATCTTGCGCTTCAATCTCACCATACACAACAAGGGCGTTCGCTGAGTCCCCTCCGAATGATATATCGACGCACTTTTAGTCATTCTGAGGAAGGTGCCAGTCCAACGACCACTGCTCTGCAGCGTCTACATTCATTTGAATGGCAGTGGCGTTGGAACCTAAGGATTTCAAGTCGTCCGCAAAAGGTGAGGTGACATCATTAGTGTGTTATTGGGGAGCGTAGTGGTATGTAGCGGTGGGTTAGTGGCACAACCACCACGTGTGAGCCCCATCAGGGTGGCCTTGAAGGCGTTAAATTTACCTACCAGCAAGATACAGGAAGTGTTAGCGGGAGAAGAGTTGCTTCAAGGTTTGTATGAGTAATTGACCAATTTCCGTTGACCTCGAGGAGCAACGGTATGCTACGCCGAGAAGAAGAGAAGCGGACACATTTTTAGTGAAGACCTAGCAAGACTATTGCTTCGCGCTGCGAACTTAAAAACTACACCTTTATTTCGCTTTTCAGGTGAATAGAAGCCGCTGAACGATAAGAACGGATGCAACCCGGAATGGGCGAAATCCTCGATCTTGTGTCTCAATCCGTGAATCCGTAAAACGTCCCGATCTGTTGCACAATTTCTACTTAGATCCCATGAGACGAGTGCGTGAAGCAGTTGAACGTCTGAATCTCCATATAAGGCAAACTAGAATTCGAAAATTATGGTGTCCAATATGAGTCTTTTGTGTGTGGTTTTGATTTAGCTATCCATAAACACGGGCCTGTGTTTCACGCACGAATGTTTGGGAGAAAATCGTGTTTCGCTGGAAATATCAAACTGTTAGCAGCGAGGAGATCTAAGGAGGTATGCTTCAGACTGTGTTCCTTCGTTTTGCATGGTACGCTGATGGGGCTAATAGGCCTTAGCTGCCGGGCAACAAGTGTTCACCGAGTTTGTATGCTGGTGTGACATTCGCCTTCATCCAAGCAGAGAGAAGTTTGGTCTTGTTGAGAGACTGACGTACTTTAACGCAGAAATGTTTTTCAAATGTTAGCGAAGTTATTTCAGGGTTCTTGGATAGACCGCATCTGGCCCCACGCGCTAAACGGGTTTGTTTTTTTGCAGGAGTTAACAAACTTCTACATTCGTGAGGTTCAAGTTGGTAGAGGCTGTTTGTAGGCATGCCTTGCTCCGATCGGATGTGGAAAGTTCGCTGTGGCAGAATGCAGTCCTGCATAGTGTTATTTGTAGGTTTCAGATACCACTATAGGGTTACTCGTGTTGGCCTGGTGGGTTGCAACACGGATTTATTGACCAGGCTCTTATTTTGAATCCAGGTTCTACGTCTGGACTACTTTCTAGGCTTGGACAACCTGGCAGGTTGTCAGAGCTCGTGCCCCCTTCTTGTGTCATGGCAGCAATGGCTGGAAAAATATTACACCTGAAATGATGTTATTATTGTCACATGGTCAACAGTGTGTTCCTTGCTTTTAGAATAGAACAGGTTGCGTTTGGTTTTAATCACTAAGCAAGAGGATGAACCCTTGCGTATAACTAACACAAGCTGACGAAGAAAGGGTAATTGCACAGTTTGCGATTTTGAGAGGGCGTGAAGAGGCCGTCTTGGATTTTGTTCGGAAGAAACAAGGGATGTGAAGCATTTGCATGCTGCGGAGACGAAGTTTTCAGTGAGTTTGGGACAGGAGAGGCTGTGTGGTTTAGTTGCCGATTTCCTTGCCTTCTGCCGGACACTCTAACCTATCAAATAAACTTCACTGAGGTAAGTCACGCAAGGCTAACATAAGCGGATAAGGTGTGGACAAAGTAACAAGATGGCTTCGATCAATTAATGCGGACGCACGATGGAATAACCTGGCCGTTTGCACAGCCAGCTCCGTGGAATGAAGGCACGCCAACTATAAGAATGTTCTAGTGTAATTCAGACTCCTACCTTTTTGTAACAGTTATCCCCGGCTAATTTTTGGCTCCAGAGTGTGACAAGGGTCTGAAACCACCGCTGACTGTTCATCAAACGAAAAGTGTGCTGATTTGTACGGTCCGCTCTTGTGTGCAACAGTGGCAACGGGATTCAATTGATTTCCGTTTGGACTGTGAGTATATATAACATATTTTCTGGTCGTCGGTGCGGGTGGGTCATTTGATACTGGAAGGAAAATAGGAGGAGAACAAGAATGATGGCGGGCGATTTCAAAGTACTGGTCCCTGAAGATCTCGTCGATGGCAAGGAAAGGGAGAAATTACAGGTTCACATAATAATATGGGGTTTAAAGCATCTGCCCGAGCTTATTGTGTGCGCCTTGATTCCGTCGTTCTACGGCTTCAGTTCATCACAAAGGTGTGGGTGGAAGACCATGTGTGGCCTTCTATAAGTTTTCAGGTTTTGACAATAAGCCTATAGGCATATCGGTGCGCGTAAAAATTGTAAAATGCGACGTGCCACTGGCCTAACATCTCGTTTTTTCAACTGTAAATGAGGCGCACCGTCAGCCTAGGAAGCTTCGAATAATGTTTCTATCCAGCAACAATATTATCCCGGATGATATTTTTTATCAACTGAACCCCGAGCATTCAAGGCTCAAGTTAAATTCAGGTCCTCCGCTAGATGACGACTGTCTAGTTGGGAGAAATCAAGGTTTTCCACGCTTGTATGATATTCGCAGGATTTCAACCCGCAATCGGTTTTAAAACAACTTGCTGAACAGGTTGGATTAGTGTGGAAGCCTTGAAGAGCTTCAGGTAATTCTGTTGATGGAGCTTTCTACTGAAGGCCTGGGCCGGAAGGAACAGCTTTGATCTGTAGGCTCAATGCTTGCAAAGATTCAGAACTTGCAGAATTCTATCGAGTGAGAATGCGTATAAACGGGTCATGCTATCTTGAACCACCCAAAGTCACTAGGCTTAACCGACATGCTAATACTCTACCCTCTTCCTAAGCTTCGATCCTCGGCAGCAGCTGCTTTAAACTGCCTGTATTGTCGCAATGCACATCATCTGTTTTCCGCTTTACAAGCAAATGAACCCATAACTGGGCCAAAGTTACATCTGGTCATGTAACGGCTTCCTTCCACCTGTGCGGATATGATTGGCTGACCTGAATTCCTGCTGCCCACAACATCACACATTCCCAATCCGATCGTCCCAGCTATGACTTCTGTCACAGGACTGCTCTGAAACCAAAGTATATCATTGCAATGATTGCGCGACATTACCATAATCACTCTGCTGGCACATATGCAACTTTTTCACCCCATATTCCGGATTGTTTGTTTTCGCCCTCTCGGAATTCTAGCTGCAAATGCAATGGGATTGTTTAGCTGGCCCCAAAAGAATTCGGGACCAATTTGTTTTGTTCCACCTTACCTCCCCTCGGATTCATTCATTTCGGCAAAGTTTTGAACTGACTTTTCCGAAAAGTTGGTGGTTTATTCTAGAATTTGCTTTCCTACTGTGTGGTAGCACCAGCTCAGCCACCCAAGGAAATTTGGCGCGCGACTTGGCTGCAACCGAAATACCAGTGAATCTATGCGGTTAACTTGTACGATGTTATCCTGAAATCCAAGCTGCCATTTATTCCTATCGCAAAACTATCCACCCG